TCCACAGAACTTAATTCTGAGTAGACATGGTTAGGATTTCATTAGTAGGCTTCAACAGTAAATCAATGACACCCTCTTTCAAAAGAGGTGTGTCTGGGCTAAGGTGTCAGCTAACAAGCAGCCATACAGAGAAGAAAATCAAGGCCTTCATGCTGCCTACCATTTTTATATGTATGTATATAGTCTTTCAAAGGGGCGCAGGTGGCGCTGTGGGTAAAAGCCTCAGCGCCTAGGGCTTGCCGATCGAAAGGTCGGCGGTTTGAATCCCCGCGGCAGGGTGCGCTCCCGTTGCTCGGTCCCAGCGCCTGCCAACCTAGCAGTTCGAAAGCACCCCCGGGTGCAAGTAGATAAACAGGGACCGCTTTCTAGCGGGAAGGTAAACGGCGTTTCCGTGTGCGGCTCTGGCTCGCCAGAGCAGCGATGTCACGCTGGCCACGTGACCCAGAAGTGTCTCCGGACAGTGCTGGCCCCCGGCCTCTTGAGTGAGATGGGCGCACAACCCCAGAGTCTGGCAAGACTGGCCCGTACGGGCAGGGGTACCTTTACCTTTACATAGTCTTTCAAGTATACAAAATCTTCCATTTGCAAAATAAAATAAAAAATTTACCTTCTTCACGTAACAAGAAACACATGGATGCTATTTTCACTAGATCAATTAGGTTTTCAAAATAAGCTCAGTTCGAGTATTTTAAAGCCTAGCTGGTCCAACAAAGGCATCATCTCATGGGTCTGGGGTTTCTCATTCCCACATAAATTGCCAACACTCTGGATGTTTTGTATATTTATATTATAGAAAGCATAGTCTAAACAGTTTTATGAAGAGCAAAGCAGTTCATCAACCTAGCCATCATACAAAATGTTATGAGTCATTTCCAACTTTACATACACATAGCGCTGAAGTAAAAAAGTAATCAATTTAAAGTGAAAAATAATTATTCCTAGAAAGCATTTTGTTACAAACTTCCCCTTTGCCAACATACTTGTCCTCTCTACTGGAGCCAAACATCACTACTTTAACCGATTCAATAGCACCTGGTGTCATCCACTGATCATCTTTTACTAAGACTTGCTTAGAGAAAATAGTAACAAGAAAGAACAGCACTAGAGTTGCAGACATTGCCTAGTGTTACACAGAACATGGTGCAGTTATGAAAATGTTAATGAAATATTGTTATTCTGCATATAACTGCAGCATTGCAGCCAATCATAGTAATAAATTATATCTTGCCCCCAGAGTATTAGGGTTTTTAAGGGCAAAAACAGGAACAATGAGAAACCTGTAAACAGATGTGTAAAAATGAAGCAAGCATATCAAAATATGATACTTTGATTTTAAAACAAACTGACACAGGATTTATCCAAACATGCAAAGATTGTGGCTGATTGACAAGACATTCACATTTATACTTCTGTCAAATCAACAAAGAAAAACAAAATGAACAAACTACAAACATTAGAGATACAATCAGAATATGGAGCCTCTCTCCACTGCAGAAAAAACCCTCGGATGCTATCAATTCAAAAAAAATTATCAAAGCATCACACAAATATACCTGCTTCCCACTAATCAGATACCTGAACAGCAATTTGTCTCACATCTCTGTTGTCTGCTGTACATGAAATACAAACAACAGCATCTGCACAGTTCAATGGCAGTTAAAATAAAGGAACACTTAGCTATCTGTACAGGAATAGAGTCAAGAAAAAGCATTAAGAAAAATGTAGGAGGAAATCCCTTCGTGTATAATATTTAAAACACAATCAGTAAGTAAGTTTCATCTTGCTGTTCACAAACAAGTGTGCCTTTTGTCAACAGCCTTGGCAATGTCATTTCCTTGTTTACTTAAAGAAATTGCTGAAGACGGTTCAGCCTTGTGCCATTTACAACAGAGACTCTACCTATTTAATTCTTCATGAAAATGGAGAGAAAAATGTCTGTATAATCCCGCTGCAGATTTGTATTGAAAAGGGTTAATTTCTGCACCACAGTCCCCTAGCAGTACTGGCTGCAGAAAGGAATGAGAAGGAGGAAAGATGTTCCTTTCTCAGCCTGCTTATGATAAATTTCAGAATGGTATGATTCTAAGATAGAGAATAAGGAACAAGGAGAAGGATCTTAAAGATCATTTGTTAACCCAAAACAAGCCTTGTTTCTTTTGGGGAGTAGGGGGTCTAAAGAGATTTACACTGCAGTATATGGCAGCAAACATGGCTGCCTCTGCCCCTTTAAATCCAAATGGCCCTCCTCCATCACATTAAACTATTATCTGATCTATCCTCAATTATTCCTCAATCCTTCTTTGAAAAACAAAGAGGGTGCCTCTCCCTTTAGCAACAAGAGATCACTTTCTAGAACTCTAGGTTCAAGCCTTAATAGCGCATTCATGCAAATTTATACATGTAGGCAGGCACTGTATATACATACACAAAAGGTTGTGTTATTAACAGTCCCAGATTAGACTTCTCCAACTCCAAGGCCAACTCCAACACTACCCCATGACTATTTATGGCTTTCTAGTTAGAATGTCATGCAAAACAGCAACCCCATGGCAAGCGACATAACCAATTCCACATCCACAGTCCATGTTCTCACACTTATATATGACACTACATTAAGGCCATCTCGCCAGACTCCAGCACAGTTATTCTATTATTGTACTGGTCACAACACACAACCCATAACAACACTTTGTCTATAAATTATTTCATAATGTATTTTCCTACATTGTTTCTCATATCCTTTAAGCCAACAGTCTTGAAGAGTCTAACACTCCAAACCACCTAAAATGCCTCAGCAACTGTGTTTCCATTGTCATGTTGACAACATCAACAACAACTATAGGACTATAGTTGAGGTTATAGGACTATAACCTCCTTGCATACCAGCTGACTTTATTATTTATCACCAAATCATCAATCCCATTTTATTTTATTTATTAAATTTGTACACCTCCCTTCATCTGCAGATCTCAGATGAAGCACAAAATACATGATAAAAACAACTATAACCCCACCTCCCACAAACAAATTTAAAAGGCATATACAGTGGTACCTCGGGTTACATACGCTTCAGGTTACATACGTTTCAGGTTACATACGTTTCAGGTTACAGACTCGGCTAACCCAGAAATATTACCTCGGTTTAAGAACTTTGCTTCAGGATGAGAACAGAAATTGCGCGGCAGCAGCAGGAGGCCCCATTAGCTAAAGTGGTGCTTCAGGTTAAGAACAGTTTCAGGTTAAGTACAGACCTCCGGAATGAATTAAGTACTTAACCTGAGGTACCACTGCACTGTAAGATGTTAATCAGTCAAAGGACTGATTGAACAGGAACATTTTTGTCTGGAACCTAATCATAATGCCTCAACCCGCCTCCAGCCTTCATCCCAATTCTGGCATCCTCACAATCCCATTGCTCTATGTGAGATCTAGCCTCCAGTCATCATCCCACTTCCACTCCATCTGTTTCAGAGTCCTATACCACCCATACATCCTCACATTCCTAGGTCTCCCCAAACCCCCATTCCCCCAGAATATATATGTTGCCCACACCTCCCCTCTGCACTATCTACCACATACAGTGGCACCTCGGTTTAAGAACAGCCCTGTTTACAAACGATTCAGTTTACGAACTCCGCAAAACTGGAAGTAGTGTCCTGGTTTGCGAACTTTACCTCAGTCTAAGAACGGAACCTCATTAGGGAAAGTGCACCTCAGTTTAAGAACAGTTTCGGTTTAAGAACGGCCTTCTGGAACGGATTAAGTTCATAAACCGAGGTACCACTGTACTGTCAGGGATTAAGCTGCTGTGGAATAGTGTTTATGTATTTTAATAAAGTGTTTGATGATTTGATGATACGTTGTTGGTGTACTTTCACTACAAGTTCTTGGTGCTGCTACTGCTAAATGTCTAACAAACACACAAATACTATGGTACTCAGAGCCAAAGCCACTATGAAAAGTCCTTACTTCCACATCTAATGACCCCCTGACTCTTTAGAGCTCTCCCTCAACTGGTGGTATATTAACCAATTCACTACTACTGTATACATATCTCCTCAAGAGGCCCACTAAGCTCAACGGGGCTCACTCCAAGAGCTAAGGGACTATTAGGTCCAAATTTGGAAACTTACATACAGTATTTTAAATCTCACTTTGCCATGAACTCATTATGTGGTCTTCAGCAACCCACTGTCTCTCAGATCAAATTCTGATATAATAATAGCTACAGGTTATTTGTCATGATTTTATATTGCCCTTTCTCCAAAGAATTCAGGGCAGCACACATAGTGTTAGGCTGAGAAATATTGAATGGCCTAAGGTCACAAAGTGAGTTTAACAGCTGAATGAGGATTTGAACCCACTGATCCTAATACACACCACATTACAGTGGTACCTCGGGTTAAGAACTTAATTTGTTCTGGAGGTCCGTTCTTAACCTGAAACTGTTCTTAACCTGAAGCACCACTTTAGCTAATGGGGCCTCCCGCTGCCACGAGATTTCTGTTCTCATCCTGAAGCAAAGTTCTTAACCTGAGGTACGACTTCTGGTTTAGTGGAGTCTGTAACCTGAAATGTATGTAACCTGAAGCGTATGTAACCCGAGGTACCACTGTACTGAGGGCTACTTTGGAAAATGCCCACTTGTGCTTGTCTGTGCCAAGTAAGGTTTGCTTCTTGGGAACTGGGAAGGGAAAGCTTTTGCTTCCTGCGCTGGGTTCGAGCCCCGCATCGGGCAAGAGATTCCTGCATTGCAGCGGGTTGGACTAGATGACCCTCGCGCCCCTTCCCACTCTACCGTTCTATCATGAGAAGCCTAACACCTCAGCTCACGTTTCATCAGGGTCCTGCAGATGAAAAACGGAAGGAAAAATGGAGGGCCCTCGGGCTCTCCAAAAGGTAAATATTGGACACGGAGGAATGTTGAGGACTAGCAACTTGGGGAGGCTCGTTCGCAAGGCGACGTCTCCGCCCCCTGCCCCCCCTCCGTGGCGCCTCACCGTCAGTCTGTTCCATTCTAACTTCCCCGCCGTATCGGACCGATCGCCGCCGGGACGCGTAACGGAGGAAGCGCGGCGGAAAGGGCCTCGCCGGGCCGGGCTCGGCAAAGGGGGCGGGCCAGGCCCCGCCGTAGGCCGCGCTCGATCCCCGGCCTCAATTGACGCGGCGCTCCCGCCGCCGCCTCTGCTGCCCGCCTCCTCCTCCTTCTCCTCCGTCGCGGGCGGCGCAGGAGCCTCCTCGGGGGCTGCGGGCGAGGAGTCCGGGGAAGAGAGGGGGCGCTGGCGCTCCGCTCTCGTTCGCTCGCTCGCTCGCTCGCTCTCAGGCCCCGGCCTCGGCCCTGCCCGCCGCCTTCGCCGCCGCCGCCGCCGCCGCCTTTCTTCTCGCGCAGCACAAAGCTCCCTCAGAGGCAGCGCCGGAAGAAAGCGGCGCCTCATTGGCTGCCCGCGCTGCGCCAGGCGCCGGGCATGCTGGGAGTTGCAGTTTCCCGCCTGGACGGGTCGGGCGGAGGGCGCGCGCGCGCTTGTCCCGGGGCAGCAGCGCCAGGCGGCGGCGGCGGCGGCGGCGGCGGCGCTCCAGTTCCCTCCAGCCCAGCAGGCAGGGCGCTGCCTTGGGGGACGGGGAAGCCCCGCAGGTACAGCCCGGCTGGCAGGAGGGGTTGGGGCCCCAGAGGATTTGGGGCTCCCCTGTGAGGCCTCGGGGGGCCCCGGGCGCGCGCGCAAAACTCTTCCACCAGGGAAGGCGGAGACCCGCTCTTGGCGCTCGGGGAAGAGGCCCAGCTGTGGCACGGACACTTCTGCACCAACATGCAGGCCCGAGTTGTGGGTTTTAATTCACATATTCATTGGAATGGATAGACTGGGCTTCCCCTCAAGTCTACAGAATGCCGACTTCAGAACAAATAAGCATAATCTGTCACCTCTCTTCAAGTCTTGTTTGGACAAGAATGAGCAGACTTGTGATTTCTGGACTCTGGAAACTGGGCAGAGAAATGACATAGATGAGATTCAGAACTTAGAAAGAAGGCTAATATAATAAAGAATTGCTATGTACATACACCCATGCCTGTAACTTGAGGCATACTGGTTGGGTGGGCGGGCACGTAAACCACACAGCCAAACCTCCTGCTGAGGGCAGAACATCCAAACCTAGAGCTTCCCCAGCAGATGGTTGGCCAGCTCCTACTAAGTAATGTTAGAGTCTGGGGGCCAAAGACACAACTAGTCCGGCATCTTGTGGCCAAGCCAGTGCCTAATGGCAAGCCTCAAAGCGGGACCTGCGCACAACAGTCTTCGCCTTCTCCCGGTGGGTGTTTCCCAGCAACTGGCATTCCAAGGCATCATTGGAGGTGGAAGAAAGACATAAGGCTAGTAAGCCATCCATAGTCTTATCCTTCATGAATTTGTCTCATTCTCTTTTAAAGCCACCCAAGTGTTGGTGGCTTGACCTCCACTGAGGGAGTCTTCCACATCCCTGGGTAACGGATTCCATTATCAAACTGCTCTTACTGTCCAAAGGTTTCACCTGATGTTTTGCTAAAATAGTATATCATCGTATAACTTAATCCCATTTAATTTAGTCCTTCCCATCCTGAGGCAGCAATAAAACTGCTAGCACATTTGCAAAGCTAAGCCGTGTCTGGTATGGTTTCAGATTGGATAGGGACCTTAAATGGGTTGAGGTTCCTGCGCTGCAGGGCGAGAGGACCCTTGGGGTTTTTTCCAACTCTATGATTCTAGGAAAAAAACCTTTGCCTGCCTCTATATAGCAGCCCTTCAGATTCTGGAGTAGTGCTGTCATGTCTCCCCCTCAGTCATCTCTTCTCCATCAACCTTTCCTCAGGATTTATTTTCTATACCAATGGCCGTCTTCATGGCCTTCCTCTGAACGAGACACGATGGAGAGAGAGCGGGAGTCCCTGCTCGCCATCGCCACCGCTACAACTACTGTGGCGGTTGGTCGTGGTCGCCGCCGCCCACCTCTATCTATCTCTCCCCCTCAGCTTTCTACGCGGGCCTCGAGCCGGAGGTGGGGGGTGGCCGCCGCCGCTTTCTCCGCCTCCACGTCCTGCCTCCTCCTCCTCGAGCCCTCCGTCAGCCCTGAGGGAACCGCCGCGCTCGCGCCGCCGCTCTCTGACACGCGAGAAAGAGAAAGGAACGGAGCGGCGGCGTAGTCGGGGGAAGGAGGGGCCGGAATGGAAGCGCGAGGCGAGCTGCACATGCCCAGCAGGAAGCGGCGGAGAACGCCACAGAGAGAGAGAGAGAAGCAAGGGAGGGCGGGGAGTGGGCGGGAACACGCTTCATGCGTCACAATAACGGACAAGAGGCGCTCGAGGGATAGATTAGGACCTAATTTGACTTTTACAAAAAAAAAAAAATCTTTCGAATTTCTCTAATCCATCTACATCCTCAAAATGCAAGTCCAGAAACTGGGCACAGTCCACTGGATGTATTCAGAATAGTCCTGAATGATGTGGGAGTAGGCCTTCTCATGACTTGGAAACGATGATTCTGTTAATGGGGCCATAAATCTCATTCGCATTCTCTCTAGCCACTTCACACTTCTAACTTCATGTTCAGCTTGTGGCTGACTACAGTCCCAAGCTCATTTTCACAGGTGTTACTGCCATATCAGATCTCCCCCATCTTATACATCTGGTTCATGTGCCTAAATAGATAACTTTGCATTTTCATTCTGCTGAATATCATTTTATTAATTTTTATTCCTGTCTCCTGAGATGTTAGCAATACCTCCTGGTTTTGTGTCATTTCCAAAGTGATAAGTGTTCCCTCTATCCTTTAATCTAAGTCATTGATAAAACTTTGCCTGTTGTTTAAGTATGCTGCTGATCAAAATATCATGGGGGACTTTACCTCATGCTTTGTTGAAATCCAAATAAAGTATGTCCACAGCATTCCCACTATTGACTACGCTAGTAACCCAATTTTTAAAAAATCTATAAAGTTAGTTTGGCAGGGTTTGTTTTTGACAGTCCACGCTGGCCCTGACTAATCACTGCATAGTTATTTACAGTACTTGAAAAAATTACCTTGATCTTCAGTCCCAAAAAGACTCCCAGAGTAGCTTACAGACCAACAGACATAATAGAGTTCCTGCCCTCAGACTTACAATCTAAAAGGACACAAAAGGAAAATTGTTTGTGAGGGAGGAGGAAATAAGCAACTTGTGCACTCCATATCAATTCTAGTACCTTTCCCAGTCAGACTGATTCTGTGGTTTTCTCAAACTTTCTTACCTAAACCCACTTTTTAATATAGAAGATTAGGACAACATTTGCCAGTCTCCAGCCTATCTGGCTCAACAGCGTCTAGATTATTTAGCAGTAGTTTTCAGACAGAATACATTTGCGGTCCTACCTAGAAACATCCAGGATTGAACCTGGAATTGTCTGCATGCAAAGCACATGTTCCACTCCTGAGCTACAGCCTGTCCCTTACAAAGGTAAATTTGTCTGTTCAGGATTTCTCAACGATGATTTCTCAGCCCTCTCTTCCACCAAAAGACTTTAAGAGGTAAAAATGTTGCACTAAACTTTTTATTTTATTTTTTAAAAAATACTTCTATACTGCCTTTTACTCCAGAGAGTATCAAAGCATAGATTGTAAAACATATCTGGAAAATATTCATAAGAATTATAGTAGGGTGCTAAATTCTTGACATTAAAGGTCAGGAAATATCTGAGCATGCCAGAAGCAACTGACAGTTGGTAGCGTGTATTTGACTGGAAAAAACAATCTGAAGTGTAATGCATAATGTAAATTATGATAGGCCTGGAGACTGGCCTCCCACTGCATGTGCTTTTAGTGGGCTTGAAAAGAGGCATTGTGGGAGAAATGACCATGTGGAATATGCATAGACCTGATAGGCTTCCCTCCTGGACAGAGTAGGCTGGGGTAGAGACTTGAGGGCCAAATGCAGACCTCCAAACTTCTCTATCTGACCCTCAGGACTCCCCATACCAGAAGCCCTCCCCAGGCCTCACCTCTCACTGGTACCTGGGCTGCCACTCCTGGAATATTTCTGGTTGGCTGGAAGGCATCCTTGACCTCTGGTGATGATGCCTCTTGCTTGCCTTGATGGGGAGGCAGGAGTGAGTGTGCATTAGAAGCAAAGATAAAGCATATATTCAAAAGGTTGTCCAGAAGGCTGAAAAGGGTTCCCCAGGCCTGCATTGGAGTCTGAAAGAGGAGAAAGTGGTCTGGAGTTGGAGGGAGTTGCAGCATTGAGGATTCAGAGAGTGACTGGTGGACTGCTAGGCTGCCACAACCTATAAAGGGAGATGGAAGCCATGAAGAAGAAAAATCTGGCTGTTTGTTCAAATCAGCTTACAGAGGCCCTCCTCCTGCACCCACAAGAATGGATACTTGGGTTGGAAACCACAAGTGATAGGGCCTTCTCAGTGGTGGCTCCATGGTTATGGAATTCCCTTTCATACAGAACCTGGAAAGTCCCTTCATATATTCTAATTTGCCTTTCTTAAACAATGTTATTTCTGTCAAAGATTCCTGAGACTTGATGCTTCCTTACTATTCTGGAGTCTTCAGTTTTCAACTGTATACACATCTTGCTCAGATGGATTTCCCCCAGTTATACACTGCTTTGTAAGGCAGATTATAAAATGCTTTCTATAAACAAAGCTAGGGAACAGATTGTGTTTTTTGTTTTGGAGGCTTTGGCTACATCTGATGCTTCTTGATTTGGAGGAAGGTGCAGGTAGACAGAAGCACCAAGGGCAGGGCAGGGGGCTTTAAATTGCTTCAGTGTGTTAGCATGTCCTTACTCATTACAAGATGAAGTGGTCACAGCCTGGGTAGGAGTGATGTAGCCAAGAAATTCTACAGACTCATGTAATATACAGAAGGCAGTTCCAGATTCTGGTGAATCAATTTGCATTACAGCATCTTGTTGAGTTCCTAGCTCTACCTGTTGGATGGTTGCCATCTGGGCAGGAGACTGAAACTGTAGGTGGGGTGTCATTCTGAATGCTCACAGACATGTACACAGATCCCTGCATGTAGACAACTAGCATATCACGCCAAAAGTTTGCATATCATGCTCTCCCCGCAGTGGAGACTTTTATTTAAGGGGTTGCAATAATGCAGGAAAGAACTGTGTTGCTGCGGTTAACATGTCCCTGAGCATAGCATGAGAAGGGGGGTTCTTCATTACTGGGAATGACAGCAATAGGGGGACTGATGTGCTATTTTGTCCTGGGTTTAGAGCAAGGAGAGATCTTCCACACAAGCCTGGAAAAGAAGATAAGATGAAGGCTTTTCAGTGTTTTCCTTTTTTAAAATTTTTGAAGCTGATTTCT